CGCGAATTAAATTATTGAGAATATTTAAAAAATGGCACCTCATTTCCCCCTTGGAATGACGAATGATGCATCATTAACAGAAGAAAAAAAATTGGCAAAAAAAAAATTATTTTTTTTTTATACGCATGCGCTGGCTAGATGCACAATGCGTTAGAATTCGGTTTCTCGAGAGCTTGTTCTCGATATATTTATATAATAATATAATTATGTTGCTTTTAGCCTCCTCAGGGCTCGCCCGTCCTTGGGCCTATGTCCCCGGACACGAGGCTCAGTGCTGTATGTTGGAGGCCCTTTAGGAAAATTATTATCGAATGTGGCAAAACAAAAAAAAAAAATAGGAAATAATTCTTTAATCGGCAAAACAGCTCTAGTTCATTATAATATATTTAGAATAAATATATTTTCTAGCTTAGGCCGCATAAAAACAATAACGATTCAATTTTCATTCAAATTATACACTTACAATTATTTTTTAATTATTTTTTCATTCTTCTTTTATTTTCTTTTTATTCTTTTATTCTTTTATTTTAAAAATTTTTTTTAAATAGTTTGAATTTTGCTAACATACGGTCGATAATTTACCGACAGTTGTCAATGAAAACTTTTATAATGGCATTTTTTATTAATTGACCGAAGAAAAAAATCTTCATTACCGACTGATGGCACAATGGTATTATAGATATATGAATTATCGACTTATTGTACAATGGTATTACAGATATATGAATTACCGACTGATGGTGCAATGGTATTGCAGATATCTATATTACCGACTGATGGTACAATGATATTGCAGATATCTATATTACCGACTGATGGTACAATGGTATTGCAGATATCTATATTACCGATTGATGATACAATGGTATTGCAGATATCTATATTACCGACTGTTGCTATTTATTGAAAATACGCGTTTAGTAAACATTTTCTGTATATATTGTTGTTTGAAAATTGTATCGTTATTAAATCTACTGTTATCGATGATACTCGTTTTAGTGGAGACCCTTCAGAGATTGCGTATTTGCGTATAAATATGAAAAATATAATTTAACATACATCGGACTGATCGCCGAAAATTATTTTTTAACTCTATTATAATTTGAAAAAAATTTCTGTTTAATTTTAAATAACGGAATAAAATTTGCAAATTATTTAAATATTACTATTGTAATAATAATAATTATTATTAACATCATTTACCTATTAAATAATAAAAATAATTATTATTATTATAATTATTATTATTATAATTGTTATTATTATAAAATTTACATAGTTACAAATTATGTGAAATGAAATTAATTTCATGATTCCAGAAATTTTTTTCGTCGTGAAAAAAAACGAGTCGTTGAGCATTTAAATGTGACATGAATTTGAATCGTATTTTGTTATTATCGAAACAATTTTTGTCACATTTTTGCCTTTGACTGGCGTTTAAATTTTACACACCATCGTTAACTGCCAAAACCATTTCAACAAATTTTTTTTAATTTCTAGTCATATTTTTTTATTTTTACTTTTTTTTTTTTTTTTTTTTAATAATGCCGAATATTTTTGTACTGATAAATTGAATATCGTTCACGTAGAGAAAGTTATATAAATTATTAATACAAAAAAAAAAATTAAAATTTTTTTTTTTATGCGTTTACATTTAATATTTATTAAATTTCAAAAATTCCATGTAACTTTTTTTTTATGTGGCGCAATTTTCCGATAAAAGTTTATAATATCAATATTCGAAGCAGATATCTTTAGGATATATATATATGAAAAAAAAGGGTCACGCTTATAAGAATTGAAATTTCGTAATATTCTTCGTATTTTATCAAAAAAACAAGTTTTTCGCTCAAGTCACGTGACAAGTATAAAAGTTCGCTTTGATTTTTACGGGAGTAAGAGAGAAAGAAAAACTTTTCTTCTTTTTCCCGGTGCATCATCTATTTCCTTTATGACTGGTGAAGCGGTTGACGATGGTGCCAGTATATCACGCCTTCTTTCCAAGTTTTGTATAAAAGTCTCTCGAATCCTATTTTCCACTTGCATCATTTTTCTTATAACTCGCCTTCGAAAAACTTTTTTTTTATTTTTATTTCGTCTTTTTATAATTATACTTTTTTTTAATTTTTATCTTCTAATACCGAGAATATTTTATTATTTGATAATTTAACTTGGAGAGAATCGTGTTTGCTATAATATAATAATTTATATACATATTTTTATATGTATATATATTATTTTTTTTTTAAATAAATATAATGTTATAGTAAAAAAAATGTGATTTTGGCACTTTTAAATATTTTTATATATTTATTGCATTCGCTTTTGTGACAAAAAAATTAAAATGACGTTTGCAGGCTAGACTGTATATATATTATGTGGTATTTGTGTGTATGTGTGTGATGACGTCACGATTTTTCCGGACGCATTGACGAGAAAGCTTTTTTAGGTGCTTTTTTGATTGCACTCTGGTGCTTAAGGAAAAAGTATAGGGAATTTTAATAATTTTTTTTTATGAGACAAAAGGTGTTGGGGAAAAAAAGGAGAATACCTCAAAAAATTTTATTTTAATCATTTAACAAAAATTTAATCAAATAGGTAAATAAATTTATTTAAATATTTATTTCAAAAAATAAAATTTATTCAAATAAAATAAATTATTTATTTAAGTTATAAATAATAAATAATAAATAGTATCAAATAAATAATAAATAATAAATACGAATACACACAGAAAAAATATTTCTTTGACAAATTTTTCTGTGATACAAAGAAAATTTATTTGTTTCAAACAAATTTTTCTTTGATACAAAAAAAATTTATTTGTTTCAAACAAATTTTTCTTTGATACAAAAAAAATTTATTTGTTTCAAACAAATTTTTCTTTGATACAAAAAAAATTTATTTGTTTCAAACAAATTTTTTTTTGATACAAAGAAAATTTATTTGTTTCAAACAAATTATCTTTGAAAGAAACTTTTTATTTAATTCAAATAAATGTTTCTTTGACCCTATATCGATGTTAGAATTTCTTTGTTTTAATGCTTAAATTTCTTTCATTCAAAGAAATTTTCTTTGAAACTAAGAAGCTTTTTTTGTTTCAAAGAAAATTTTATTTTGAATGAAAGAAAACAAGTCAAAGAAATTGCTTTCTTTAAATCAAAGAAATCTTTTCTCTAGGTTTAAAAAATTTAAATTAAATAAAATATTTATTTAAATTAGATAAAATATTTATTTAAAGTAGAAAAAATATTTGTTTAAATTATAAAAAAATATTTATTTAAATTAAATTTTAAATAATAAATAGTAAATTTGATTAAAATTATATTATATAACTTTTCTTCTGAGTATAGGTTAGAATTAGAAATATTAGAAAACTGGTAAAAGGTTTGTGTATTATTCTATATGCGAGGGACAAAGAGGAATTTTTTTTTTCTTTGAGAGAGAATGGAATAGAAGACAAAAAAAATAGGATAAAGTATAGGACGTATGTAAAAAATTATTTCGTGTGAGTACATAAAGAAGAGTATATGCTTTTTTACACTCGACTCACAAATATATATATATATACACACACGGAAGAGGCCGGTTTCTTCGTTGACCTGAAAAATGGGAACGGGGTGGAAAAAAAAGAGAAAAGATATGGAAAAGATTGTACATTTCATGAAGTCCATCATTCATATGACCCTTGTTTCACGGTTTTTTTTTTCTTTTCTCTTTTTTTTTTTTTTTTTTTTGATTCTCCTTGGTTTGCGTATATATAATTTGTGTTTCAACTTTTGTTTCTTTGCGCGTTTATATATATATATATAATTCTTGCGTTTTGAATTCCGCGCGTGGAAAATGTAAATTTATGTAGATTCATGTAAATTTTTGCGAAACGAGTGTATATAAGTTCATCTTCCAGAATCTAAAATATTTACTTTACCCACTTGATGCAATCATTTACAATGTTTGCGATTTATATGTCTATGTTTTTAACCACACAATTTTCTATAGTTTTTTTTTTTTAAATAAAATTTTCATTACCACTGAAAATTTTTTTCAAAAATATTTAAAATTGTGTTTTGAATAAAAATGTGATTTTCCGCATTACATTTTTTTTTTTTTGGTTAAAAGTGCTTGTGTATTGTTGAGAAAAATCGTGTAAAATAAAAAAGATTGGTTTTTTATATACTATACTGAAAAAAAAATTTATTTGATTATACTCGATTACTTGACTATTATAAATATTTACTTGAACCAAATAATTTTTCTTTAAATTATATTTGAATTAATAATTTCTGTATTTGAAACAAATATAGTATTTAATTGGCTCAAATAAAAATTATTTGGCTCAAGTAAATATTTATTTGATAATATAGTCAAGTAATCGAGTATTTGAATCAAATAAATTTTTTTTTTCAGTGTAGTAAACGAAAGATCACTTGCAGCTGTCATTTAATTATTTTTATTGCGAATTTCTTTTTTTTTTTAAATTAGATTGATCGTTGTTAGAATCATTTATTGACATAGTGATAAGTCAATTTATAGAAATGCATTATTGCCAATTTCGTCATGTTGCGTTTGTATATGTGACGTGCGCTTTTAATCGTATGTCAGGTCGATTGACATCCATTAATGCAGAATAATTCTATCCACGTACTATTCGGTTAATACTTGATCAATTTCATCGTTTATGATGATTTAATTATCTAATTTCTTTTTTTATTTACAATTCTTTTTTTTCATTATTTATATTTTAGTTTCTAAACATAATTTATTTATATTTTAATTAAATTCGAAATTATTGAATAATTTTTTTTTGATTATTATTCAATTATGTATTAACAAAAAAAAAAGAGGAATATTAATTGACTGCTGCAAGAATCGACCTCGTTTTATATACATATACATATATAGTATCGCGTGTTTACTACTGAATTTGAGTAGTGTGAGACTGTCACATGAAAGCTTTATAAAGTTATATGGTATGAACATTTGAAAATGCAGCTACTTACAGCTCTCGATCTCGATGTGACAGAGCTGTCGATCCATTGGAAAATATTGTAGATTCATTGGACACGACGCTGTGATCGTTAAACTGTAACAAATGGAATAATTCAGTATATTATGCGTTTTATATGTTACTTTTTTTAAACGTACGGGAAATTATTTAATTTAATGAATTTAATATTGAAAAAGAATTGGAATTATTTCATTTACACGTTTTGAGAGGAAACAATTTGGAGTTAATAAAAATAATCAATAAATAACTTTTATTATTATTTTTATTAACTTTAACTGTTTAATTTATCATTATTTTTATTAATTAATGAAAAATAATTAATTAATAAAAACAGAATTAAAAAAAAATAATAATAAATACCTACCTAATATTAATTAATATCAATAATTAAATTTTAGAAGAATAAAAATTATCGACATAGAAATCTACCTTACCGACTGATGGTATAAAAGATTTTTAAAAATTGGAAATATAAAGAATTACCGACGCAGAAATCTACCTTACCGACTGATGGTGAAGAATTTTTCCCCCAAAATTTATACCAATTTTTCACAACTGTTTTACCATCAGTCAGTAAGGTAGATTTCTGTGTCGGCAATTTTTATATTTTCATTTTTTTCAAAAACTGCTTTACCATCAGTCGGTTAAGTAGATTTCTATGTCGGTAATTTTTTATATTGGTATTTATATTGAAAAAGAATTGGAATTATTTCATTTACACGTTTTGAGAGGAAACATTTGGAGTTAATAAAAATAATTAATAAATAACTTTTATTATTATTTTTATTAATTAATGAAAAATAATTAATTAATAAAAACAGAATTAAAAAAAATAATAATAAATACCTACCTAATATTAATTAATACGAATAATTAAATTTAGAAGAATAAAAATTATCGACATAGAAATCTACCTTACCGACTGATGGTAAAACAGATTTTTGAAAATTGGAAATATAAAGAATTACCGACGCAGAAATCTACCTTACCGACTGATGGTGAAGAATTTTTTTTCCAATATTTATACCAATTTTTCACAACTATTTTACCATCAGTCAGTAAGGTAGATTTCTGTGTCGGCAATTTTTATATTTTTATTTTTTTCAAAAACTGCTTTACCATCAGTCGGTTAAGTAGATTTCTATGTCGGTAATTTTTTATATTGGTATTTATATTGAAAAAGAATTGGAATTATTTCATTTACACGTTGAGAGAAAGAAGTTAAAGTTAATAAAAATAAGAATAAATAAATAAATTTATTATTATTTTTATTAACTCTAACTGTTTAAATTATTTAATTAATTTATCATTATTTTTATTAATTATTAAAAACAGAATAAAAAGATAATAATAAATACCTAAATATTAAATAAAATTAAATATTTTATAAATATAAATTTATAAAAATTAATAAAAATAATTAAATTTTAGAAAATTAATAATTAAAATATTTCCCGGAGATATTGAAATTATATAATTTATATGAGCATAATATTAAATTTTGATATCGTATTTTGTAAACATAATTTAAAATTACATGTGTTGTTTTTGTATTAAGTATACATATATATATAGCAAGATTTATTAGCCTAGAAATAGCCAATGTAATTTCATTGATGTTTCATAGTATATAATGGCATGTACTCTCTTTCTCTCTTACTCTCTCTAAAGCTTAAACATTATGTGGTTTAATATTTGCGCGTTGCTCCATTACTGGACTTTCGTTGCGCACGTTTTCCCGCTCGCGTTTGTGTATATGAAGAAGTAACCACGAATTTAACAAGGAAATAAAGCCAACTACAATAATTCAAGTTTATGCTAGTTTCCCAAGTTTCTGATAGGGAAGGGTTTACACTATACTTACATTTCTCTCTCTCTCTCTGTATTTTACTGAAACAAATACAAGTTTCAGTGCTTAAAATTTTTTCTTTCACGAAAAAAAGGAAAAAGTAATTTTTACTACTTTCGAAGTAAAACAGGAACTGTCCGAAATTTCCAGCGCATCTCTAGCAAATTTTACTCCAAAAATAGTAAAATTTACTATTTTCTGTAGGTAAATTTTACTGTTTCTGTAGTAATTTTTACTGTTTTTGTAGTAAATTTTACTATTTTTTGGAGTAAAATTTGCTAAAGATGCGCTGAAACTTCGAACAGTTCCCGTTTTACTTCGAAAGTAGTAAAAATTACTTTTTCCTTTTTTCTGTGAAAGAAAAATTTGAATTTTTAATTTCAATTAATTTAGTATTGTCCATTTTTGATAAATTTAAATTTAATTAGTTAATAAATGTGACACACTCCAAAAGGACCTTAAATGCAAAAAAAATTATAGGTTATGTTTTTAAATTTTGAAGTGAAAATAAAGATATACACAAAGAGGATCAATATAAATTATTAATAATAATAAAAAAATAATATTAATTTATTTATTATTATTATTATTATTTAAGTATTATTATGTATTTATTATTATTTATTTATTATTTTATTTTTATTAATATTAATTATTTAACTTATTATTATTATTCTATATTAAAATCATTGTTAAATATTTTGTTAAATATTTAACAATGATTTTTACAAAAGTTAAAAAGAAACTTCTAATTCTGGTAAAACTATAGTAAACATAACCTATAATTCATTTGCTTCTAAGGTCCCTTTCTTCAGAGCGCGTCGCAAATTATTTAATAAATTAAACAAATGTTTGTGGTTTTAGAAAAAAAAATTCGAATTTTTAAATTCGTTTGTTTTTATAATAAAAAACATTTCTTTTTATTAAATTTATGTTTTTTTTTTTAATAAATTTTTTGCTTTTCAATTTTTATATGAAAATGATGATATAAAATTTTTTCTCTCTTTTCTATTTTTATTTGCGATTTCAAGAGAGAGAGAGAGAGAGAGAGAGAGAGAGAGAGAGAGAAGGGAGAAAATTTCATTAAAGGAAAAATGTTTTCTCGGTTTAGTATATATATATATGATAAAATCAAGAACCAACGGGCACAATTTCGAAAATGATCTCTATACCATTGTCGCTGGGGTTGTTATCCACACCAGTGTAGCTTTTCGGTCTTTGTGAAATTTAGTAACGAACTCGATTGGAAACGCTTCAATCAACCGATTTGTGGTTTACCCATGTTCTTTTCTCCTCTCTTATTTCACGAACGATTTTCTCTCACTTATATAAAATGAACTTAATTATATATATATATATATAAAGAGTGATTTTTATTTTCCGGAACCCCTAGAAAATTTGTTTTTTAATTCAATTTTTCTTTTTGGATAAAAAAAAATTTTTTTTAGGGGGCAAGGAACAAAAATCAATTGTTCATTTATAGCAAAAATAGGAAATATTTTTTTGTATCTAGTGTCTGCATTAAACTAGTTTGTAAAATGTAAGTTAGACTAATATCTTCTTTGAATTCCTGAATTTTGAATAAGAATATAAAAATAGGAGACTTGTTTTCCTTTTTAAAACATATATTGAATCGCGAGTGTGTTGGTTTTTTTTTCTCTTCTTTTTTTTTTTGCAGAACGTAAGTATGGCGTTGCATGCAACGTTCTTCTCTTACTTTTAGATTTCAGTTGTTAGTTCGTCGATTATATGCTAAATTATCCTCGTCCCCCTTTCTTTGATTTTTATATTTATGCATGCCTGTCTTTTTCTTCGTTTAAATTGTAGAAAACTACTTATATATTCGCCATTTTCTATATATATATATATATGTATTCTATAGTGGCATATTATAGAAAAGCATATTTGATATTTCTATGATTTGTTTTATGTTGGCACGTCATCACATCGTGCGCGCAATTATTTAATAAATCAGTCATTTTTGACAAAAAAAAAGTAAAAAAAATTATTTTTAGGCATATAACCCACTTGGAAAGATTTCCCGGAAAATGGCCCCTGGAGGTTCTATCAGAATTCCGCCGGAACTTCCATCGGAGTTCCAAAGAATTTCCGATAGGATTCCGACGGAGTTCCGACGGAATTAGGACTCTAAAAATTTTGAAATAAATTAATCGGAATTCCGTCAGAATCCGATCGGAAATTCTTTGGAACTCCGATGGAATTCCGACGGAATTACGTTGGAAGTTCCGGCAAAATTCTGATAGAACCTCTATAGGGGGCACTTTCCGGGGAATCTTTCCAATTGGGCAATTTATTAGTATAAAAATAAAAAATAATGATTTTTATTATTATCATATTGATATTGGTTAAAAATTAATTTTTTATCTTATTTTTTTTTAACATATATGGGCAGTTGTGAAAAAAAAAATTCCTCCCAATTAGAATATATTCACTCATCAGGAGAGTATATAGCTAATTTTACTCTCTTAATTGCCATATTGAACGCGAGGGCTCTCATACCAGTTTGCCCTACATGTGCCCCCTTACTAAATTAATTCAAGAACACCATCCCCTGGAAAATTTTCCTATCATATCGTTGTGTCTTTCGTGTCTATGGATCACGATCGCTCTTGTGGAAAAAGAGAGATAGAGATAGATAGAGAAGCGTTGAGTGGTGGTGGTGGTGGTGGCCTTCGGTTGGTGGCAGATTTAACGAGGGAAATTTTCAGCTGCCGCAATAGCCATGGAAAACAGTGTGTCTATAAAGTGGGATCTTGCAAGAGTAATTATTTTCTAACGAAAGGAGTATTTTAATTACAAAACTTGTAATCCTATATCTTAGGCGCAACTATATGTTTGGATATAGTTTAAACTTTATCGGCTTACGATTCGATATCATTTACTTCTATTTTTAAAGGCTATTGCATTAAATAAAAAAACCATATACAGAGAAATGATATATTTATTTGAATATAAAAAAAATACCGGCACAGAAAACTACCTTACCGACTGATGGTAATTATTTGGAAAAATCAAAATATAACGAAGCTGAAGTACGCAACGTTTATATAAACGATTTTTAAAGAAATAATTTTTTACAATGAAAAATTCTATAATTTTTTGCCTAAAAAATATTTCTTGTAGTTTTCATTAATCAACAAATTTACAAAAAATATTTTTTAGGCAAAAAATTATAGAATTTTTCATTTTAAAAAATTATTTCTTTAAAAATCGTTTATATAAACGTTGCGTACTTCAGCTTCGTAAAATATAAAAAAATTACCGACAAAGAAATCTACCTTACCGACTAAAAATTTACTATCAGTCGGCAAAGTAGATTTCTGTGTCGGTATACACTATAAATTTTTTAAAAAATTTTATTTAAATCAAATAAAATTTATTTGCAACAAATAAATATTTAATTGCGACAATAATAAATGTTTATTTGTCTCAGAGAAAATATACCTTTTTTGGATGTATTAAATAAGTTTAAAATTGAATTCTTTTTTTTACATTTAATTTGTAACAATGTTATATGTTTTTGCAGGAATATCAACAATGATGGACGCTCTCATCTCTCTTTCCTGTGTTATGATCACTGAAATGGTGAGTACCTATTACGTACAGTACAACTGCTTTCATATACACAAATGTACATTTATTGTATATAGTGATACATATTTATGTAAAAGGTATAGTGTGTCCAGGACATATATATATACAATCTAAATTACAAGTTTTTTTTCTCTCTCTCTCTTTCATTCTATTTTTGATCGATTTCGGTTATTTTTCTCTCTATATATTTGCGCTATATTTCCTTTTATTAATAAAATTTAAAAAATATTCCACTTCTGATGGAATCGCGGATGAGTTGCTGTGTTTTCATTTTTTTTTAATAAAAAAAAAATTGTGAGAGAAAATTTAGTTCTATTGCAGTAATGAATTTTTTTTTTTTTTTTTAAATGAAATTTTGACTTTTTGGTAAAATATTTTTCGAACGGTATTAGTAAAGAAAAAAATAACGCAAACTGGAACTTTTTTGTAGGATTTGAAAAATCGGATTTTTAAATTTTTTTCGAAAATCATGCGGATTAGTACATATGAAATAAATGAATAGATTTTCTTATGGGAAAAATTTTTTTCTATATATAGAGAATTTTTTCTTTTTCGCTACAAATGATAAATGAATAAATAAAAATGAATGACGCGCAAAAAAATGTAGGATTTTTCGATGGAGGGATTTTTTTTTCTCAATATTCTCTGAGATCCATTATTTTAAATATGTATAAACGAAACACGACCATCGCGTGTGAATTAGATATGTGTCATGAAATTCTAAAAACCACTTTTCTAACCTTTGCGAGAGACTTTTTTTTTCGCAAAAATTGTCTTCGAATTTGTTGTAAATATTTTCTCTGCCTGTTTCCAAAAAATTTGGATAAAATTCCTAACAGGCGGGATGTGGAATTTTTAAAACGCCGAATTTCCAATTTATCCGAAATTGCTAATGATACCAAAAAAAATAATCGGAATTTAAAAATTAACAAATCCCAATTTTCTAAATAAATTCTTATTGGTTAATTTTTAAATTTGCGGTGAAAATTTTCTGTCGGGTCATTTGCAATTTCGGATTAATGGAAATTCGGACAAATTAAAATTCGGTGAATTAGAAATTCTGGTATTTAAAAATTCGAATCATTTAAAATTCTGTTGAATTCTAAATTAAAGGGATTTTTTTTCATTTTTACACATAAATTGTTTTAAATGTTAGTCATTATAATTAATTATTATTATTAGGGAAAAAAAGGGGATATAAAATGTGTGTGCGATTCCTACTTGACACACATTGCATCCAGATATCTATACACCTGACTGAAAGCACAACCGAGGTAGTAACAAGTACCGGAACTAAGTGCGAGTTAGATATGCATGGTTCCTGAATAGAGTCTGAACATTAATACGAGAATACCCTCGTGGCTTTATATGAAAGGGTTGTGGCGGAAGAACTAGAATGAGTGAATGAGAGTGGTTACGTGGAAAGGATCCATATTCACCAGAAATAATTTTCACATTCATTCTGAATGGTTTATATGCTGATTAAGAGCATCTCTTATGCTAATTTTAGAAGTATTCTCATTTCTTTTTTAATCTAAAATCCTTAGTTTTAGTTTCCTTTGATTTATTCCCAATTATTATTTTTTTTTCCAGTTAATACTAATTCAGAAACATTTTTTTGGATATTAAAATTTTGGTGACAGAAATACAGGAAATACGACGCATGAGAAATGTTTTATTTGTATCAAATATAATATATGTTTAAGTTCAAAAAACGTATATTTGTCTCACAATCTACTAGCCTACTTATTTGGCGAAAATAAAATTTTTTGTTTAAATTTAAAAATTTTGAAAAATGAAAATATAAAAAATTACCGGCACAGAAATCTACTTTACCGACTGATGGTAATTTATTTTAAAAAATGGCGATATAAAAAATTATCAACGCAGAAATCTGCCTTACCGACTGACGGTAAAACAGTTTTTAGAAATGAAAATATAAAAATTACCGACATAGAAATCTACTTCACCGACTGATGGTAAAACAGATTTTTGGAAAATAGAAATATAAAAAATTACCGATAAAGAAATCTACCTTACCTACTGATGGTATTTTTTTTGAAAGATGAAGATATAAAAAGTTATCGACGCAGAAATCTACCTTACCGACTGACGGTAAAACAGTTTTTTAGAAATGAAAAATAAAAATTACCGACATAGAAATCTACTTCACCTGCTGATGGTAAAACAGATTTTTGGAAATCGGAAATATAAAAATTACCGACGCAGAAATCTACCTTACGGACTGGTATAAATTTTTTTTTTCGAAATTTATACCAATTCTTCAAAGCTGTTTTACCATCAGTCGGTAAGGTAGATTTCTGTGTCAACAATTTTTATATTTTCATTTTTCAAAAAAATACCATCAGTCGGTAATGTAGATTTCTTTACCGGTAATTTTTTATATTTCTATTTTCCAAAAATCTGTTTTACCATCGGTCGGTAAAGTAGATTTCTATGTCGGTAATTTTTTATGTCGGTATTTTTTCGAAATTTTTACTATCAGTCGGTAAAGTAGATTTTTATGTCGGTAATTTTTTTTATTTTTAAATTTTTTTACAATCTTATTATTTTTTTAACTATTATTTCTTTGGGTGTGATATCATGGTTATTACACGGTTACTAATAGCAAGAGTGTACATTGGACTATCTTGAGTATAAATTCTCTCTTCGTCAAAGTTGATTGTGTTTTTTTTCCTAATTTTTTCTCTTCATTTAACGAAAATAGAGTTTCTTTTTCTCTTTCTTCTTCTTTTTTTTCATCATCTCTTTTTGGCGCAATTTTCTGCAGTTTCGTGTCAGTCGTTCGATAGCAGTTAGGGAGATTGATTGGTTCGGTTATCTCTCAGCTACTGGAGAGTCAGAGAAAAAATAGAGAACATTAGGTAAACGATGGAATGACGTTGGTACGATTCGTAACGAACGACTGATAGTCATTCAAGTGAAATCAAATCGTGACCAACACACAGGGGGGGAATGCGAATCAAGGATTTTTTTTTTTTTTTTTTTTTTTTGAAAAAAAACAGAATTTCATCAGCTATAACCGAGTATAGGAGAATTTGGAGAGGGAGAAGATTTATCCGCTTTTAACGAAACCTCTCGTTTTTTTTTTTTTTTTTACTTTTTAGTTCAATTGTTTTTCGAGTGAGATAAAGAGAAAGGTTTTATTTCTTCCTATTGTATTTTTTTTATCATATATATATATATTTCAACAAATATCGGGAGTATTGCGTTTTTCAATTTTTAAAAATTTTTCAATTATTTCTCCAAAACAATTGATTGTTTCAATAGAAAATTTCTCTTGCTTTTTTTTTTATTCGTTTATTACATTCTCGATGAAGGGGAGGGGGTGGGGGTTTATGTTTTCAAACAGTTATTTTTATTTAAAAGCACGTTTTACTTGTTTTCGCTATTTCATGGTTTACTTTTTCTATTTTCTGGTTTACTTTTTTTTTTTTTTTGTTTATTTTTCACTTTTCTTTTTTGTCATTTTTTATTATGTTTTTCTTTCTTATCATAAGAGAAGGTATTTTTTTTTATTATGTAATCACAGAAAATTAAAAAAAAATTAAAATAAGCTGCAACGCTTATTATTTTAATCAAATTTTGCTTATTTTATTCCATTTTGGTATTAAATTTCTTATTAATTTCTTATTTAATTATTTCATTGGATTATAATTAAATTTTAAAATTTGGAGGGAAAAAAAATTTTTTTTCATAAAAATTTTCGTTTTTAAAAAATCTTTTTGGAGAAATTTATGTTTTAATACCAAAATGGATTAAAATAAGCAAAAGTGGATTAAAATAATAAGCGTTGCAGCTTATTTTCTGTGATTGGATTATAATTTAATTTTATAATTTGGAGGAAAATAATTTATAATAATAATAATAATAATAATTTATTTTTTAATAATTTTAATAATTTTTTTTTATTTTAATAAACATTTTTTCTTATTTAATTATTTCATTGGATTATAAATTAAATTTCAAAATTTGGAGGAAAAAAAAATTTTTTTTTTTCATAAAAATTTTCGTTTTTAAAACGTCTTTTTGGAGAAATTTATGTTTTTTCTACATTCGTAAATCACTGCTCTATATATATATATGTATAAAAGGACTTTTCGTAAAATGTAAATTTCTTGGTTTAGAATGCAAATATATATAAAAGCGTTTTGCTTACCGTATACTTCGTGTTATACTGCCTGTGTGTTGAATGCGAAGGAATTCGTTACTGGTGGTGGCGATGTGAAAATACGATTGCTTCTCGTTGACAAAGAATGTGTCTGGTACCCAAATATTTTTGATAAATTCTGAGCCAACACTAAGTGTTTCCACGCCAGTTCTTTTCTTGAATGCCAGTCGTGGATCCTTCCAAAATTGACGAAAGTAAAAATCCAACGTAAAATCCTATAATTGGGGAGAGATTAAAAGAAAAAATCGATTAGAAAAATAAAACTTTTTAATTTGGAAATATATTATTTTTATACGAAGTGATAATTCGATTCCAGTCATTTTTTATTGCTTATAAAAAGATGTTATTGAAATTTTTTTTTATGATTGAAAAGAAAATTACATAACATCTACTTTTTTAAAAAAATTAGTTTCATTTAAAAAAACAAAATAACGAATTTTGAAAAAATCGATAACCACTTCGCATTTTAGAATAAAGAGGAAAAATTGCTGCATAAATTCTTTTAAGTTTTTTTAAGGGAAAATTGAAGAAGAGTGATGAAATAAAAGTCGATGGTATATGATCCTTATGAATAGATTTTTTTTATGTATATAAAAATAATTTTAATTGAAATATTTATAAAAATGAAAAGACATTGTAAATTCTTTTATTATATTAGGAATATGAAATTAAAAATAAATTTAATAAAATAAAATTTTTATTATTTTTATTATTTTTAAAATTCTTTTATTTTATAAATATTTGATATGAGTAATAATTGTTTTGAAAATAGATGAATAGAGGGAAATAGTGGCTTTTCAGTATATTAAATCTTGTATGCACCTCGTAAATGTATATAATTGAAAATAATTACATATATACTTTGTATAAATCCCCTTTGAAAATTTATTTCAAAAGCTTTATTTAAAGTAACTCCTTTAATTAAATGTGAATTAAAAATTAAATTTTCAATGTCTTTACATTTATTTGAAAGTAAAATAAATCAAAAATCACATCGGTGAATATTGACGATTGAAAAAAAAAATATTTTTCAAATAGTAATTTTTTTTATAAATTGTTTAGCGAGAAAAGTTGCAATTTTTTTAAAATAAAATTTTTTTTTTTTTTAATCGTTAATCGTAAATTGAACCGACGTGAAAAAAATTGAGAAAAAGAATTAAAATTATTAAATAGAATTAATAAACAAAAAAAAGTAAACATTTTTATAAGGAAAATTTTAATAAAATAAAAACATGAGAGAAGTAATAGAATAATAATAAAAAAAAGTAATGGAATGAAAGAAGAATTTTTTTATTTATATAGAAACTAAAATGAAGTTTATCTTGGTGAATAAATGTCAAGTGGATCGTTTTAAATAAGCAGCATATGATTGACAGCAATTCTATATAGCTAAATTGAAGTAGAAGAGAGAGATGATGTGGAAAAGCATAGGGAATCGGGATTGAAAAAGGAATATTGTATATATGGAGAGAAAGAGAGAGAGAGAGAAAATTCCATATCGAAAAAGTGATGGGATCAAAGGCTTTGTGCTTACAAGAAAAGGCAAAGGAGATGGGTTACTGTAACCAAATATCCATGCTGCATGCTTGTATAAATTTATAATAATACATGAAAGTCGCTTTCAAAAATGTGGATTTAACATGCAGAGAATATTTGCCAATACCTCCAGCACGTATATTTATATTATTTGAAAACTTGGAGATTTTTCTCCTTGGATTGATTTCTGATAGGAGGAAATTATCTAATTTATTTCTTTTTTTTTTTTTTTTGACTGAAGTGATTTAATTGAGAAATATTGCTAGAAGATTGTATTTAAAAATGTCCCGAATATTTTTATGGAATAATATAATCATAATATTATAATATAATATAAAAAGTAATATTATTATATAATATAAAAAGTAATATTATACACTGGAAAAAATTTATTTGATTTAAATAATTGGTTACTTGACTATTAAAAAAAAAATATTTATTTGTATAAATAATTATTGAGTTGGTATTTGTTTTCAAAAATTACCATCAGTTGGTAAGGTAGATTTCTGTGTCGGTATTTTTTATATTTTCATTTTTCAAATTTTTTTTAAAATAAAAAATTTATTTACGCCAAATAAATGGGTTAGTAGTAGGCTGTAAGACAAATATACGTTTATTTAACTCAAATATATTATATTTGGTTTAAATAAAACATTTCTCTGGATGTGTATTTAATTTAGTATTTTTATTTTTATTTAGTATTTTTGTATTTATTTAATTTATTTATTATTAATTAACTTAATTTAGTTTAGTTTAGTTTAGTTTAGTTTAGTTTAATTTAATTTTATTGTATTTAATTTTACTTAATTCAAATAAAAATTATGTAAATATTTATTTGATAATAGTAAAGTAACTGATTATTTGAATCAAATAAATATAGTTTTTCAGTGTAAAAGAAATTATTATTTTCTTCTTCTGTATAATGAAAAAAAAATCCTTGACCTCTAAACGATGTTTAGAAAAATTTTTGTAATTAACTGGACGAGTAACGAATCCATTGTTTAATCAACTTTGAACACATGGAGCTTTTCTAAAGGTAAAGATGTCCCCCCCTTTTTTTTTTTGCAAAATGAGACTCATTTCTTAATAAAAAAAAGATTTTTATTTTCTAAAGAGAATTTTACGGTTCTACTTTTTGAAAAATGACAGTGAGTGAAGCTTCACGTATCGCAGGCACATCGTATTCATATCATCGTTTTTATATACATATGTGTTTTAGAGAGAGGCTGCGAGAGAAAAGTTCTTTTTTTTTTTTTTTTTTTTTTTTTATTTCGGAATAGAATATTTTTACTTTGACATTCTCCACAATTCTTCGCGTGCACATTTTTCGTTTGTATTTTTTCCCACGAGTTGAATTCACTATTGTATAGAGTAAAGTATTAAGCTTTCTCTCTTTCCTGTTTCCTTTGATGAAAATCTATATATGTGTGTGTGAAAGTTAGGGTTGACTTGGGGTGTTAAACGCCTTGGCAGATATTCGATACTAAATGTTTAGTTGATATTTCTACAATAGAGAATCGTTCTCACTGATATGTATCCTGGAAATGTCTATTTATGTGTGAAGAAAACTATCTATATTTCCCCTCGGAGAATGTTTTTTTTTATAAAAGGTGTAATTAAGCTCGTATAACAAAAGAAATAATTTTTGTATTTTACTTGCGGCGAGAGAGAGAGAGAGAATATAAATATTTTTTTTCGCTATTGGAAATCATTTAGTGAAATTCGATTATAAGGGAATTTAATTATTAAAATTATGGAAAATTTAGTTTTTAACAGCGTTGAGAAAAAAGATTTTTAACAAAAAATTGTTTTGTTAGGCGATTTTTTATTGTCCTAATCTAATTTTGATTGTCAGAACCACATTCTTTAGTTGCCGTACCCAAATTTTTTATTGTCATGACCAATTTTTTTAATTGTCGTAACCAATTTGTAGTTGCCGTAACCAAATTTTAGTTGTCGTAACCAATTTGTAGTTGTAGTAACCAAATTTTGGTTGTCGTAACCAATTTGTAGTTGTCGTAACCAATTTATATTTGTAACCAAATTTTGGTTGTCGTAATCAATTTTTTATTGTTATTGTCGTAACCAAATTTTGTCTGTCGTAACCAATTTATAATTGTATCCAAATTCTGGTTGTCGTAACCACATTCTTTAGTTGCCGTACACAAATTTTTTATTGTTGTCATGACCAATTTTTTTAGTGTCGTAACCAATTTGTGGTTGTCGTAACCAAATTTTGGCTGTCGTAACCAATTTGTAGTTGTAGTAACCAAATTTTGGTTGTCGTAACCAATTTTTTATTGTTATTGTCGTAACCAATTTGTAAATGTCGTAACCAAATTATGTCTGCCGTAACCAATTTATAATTGTAACCAAATTTTGGTTGTCGTAATCAATTTTTTATTGTTATTGTCGTAACTAAATTTTGTCTGTCGTTACCAATTTATAATTGTATCCAAATTCTGGTTGTCGTAACCAATTTATAGTTGTCGTAACCAATTTTTTTAGTGTCGTAACCAATTTGTGGTTGTAGTAACCAAATTTTGTCTGTCGTAACCAATTTGTAGTTGTAGTAACCAAATTTTGGTTGTCGTAACCAATTTTTTATTGTTGTTGTCGTAACCAATTTGTAGTTGTCGTAACCAAATTATGTCTGTCGTAACCAATTTATAATTGTAACCAAATTTTGGTTGTCGTAATCAATTTTTTATTGTTATTGTCGTAACTAAATTTTGTCTGTCGTCACCAATTTATAATTGTAACCAAATTTTGGTTGTCGTAATCAATTTTTTATTGTTATTGTCGTAACTAAATTTTGTCTGTCGTAACCAATTTATAATTGTATCCAAATTTTGGTTGTCGTAACCAATTTATAGTTGTCATAACCAATTTTTTCAGTGTCGTAACCAATTTGTGGTTGTCGTAAACAAATTTTGTCTGTCGTGACCAATTTTTTCTTATTATTGTCGTAACCAAATTTGTAGTTGTCGTAACCAAATCTTGGTTGTCGTGACCAATTTTTCTTTTTATTGCCGTAACCAGTTTGTATAGTTGTCGTAACCAATTTGTGGTTGTTGTAACCAAAATTTAGTTGTGGACAATTTTTCTTTTTATTGTCCTAACCAGTTTGTGGTTTACGTAACCAAATTTTTGGATATAACGAAATTTTGTTTTTATTGTTATAACCAATTTGTAGTTGTAACCAAATTTTGCCTGACGGGACTAATTTTTTTTTAGTTTCGTAACCAGTTTGCAGTTGTCGTAACCAAATTTTTGGTTGCTTGAACAAAATTATATTCTTCTTAATTTTTAAACATGTGTTTTTTGTCTTTTTTCTCTGTTTGCATCACTTTCTTTTTTTTTTTTTTCTTGAACAGAGCTTTTTGGTTGCCGTTTGAAGTCTCGTGATCGTGAGATCGCGCAATTTAAAAAGTCTCTGTATAAAGTATAAAAAGCAGTCCATTTGCTTCCGCTAGTCGAAGGCTCTTTTCTCATTTCCGATATAAAAGTTCGTTGGCAAAGTCATCCACATCTAAAACATGCTCGAGTGTGCGGTATATATATAATACACAGAGGATTCAGTTAGATCTCTTTCTCTCTCTCTCTCTCTATAATCTGTTTCACTTTTTATATAGTCTGCAAACCTCTTCTATCTCTTTCTATATATATATATTTATGCTGTGTGTCTTTTTGTTTGCCAACCTTCTGCTCTTAATGTTCAACGTTATATATTCCAATGTTTCAAATTCAAAGAGAAAGCCCAAGTGTATAATTTTTTTTTATTTTTTCTTCAAAAAGTTGAATATTATTTTTTTTTTTATTTATTATGCAATTATTGAATATTAAAATTTAATATTCTCTATTAATCATATTAAATAATTATTTAATAATAAAAAAAAAAGAGGAAGACTAATTTGTTATTCAGGAAATTTAATTTCTTTGCATGTAATTAAAATGGAATTAAATTTTATTTAGAGTTATTTATTTAAAGAGGAGACAAAAAAAAATTAATATTCAATGTGAGTGCTATTATTTCTGAAAAGTAAATGAGGCTTTGGTAAAAAAAAAAAGTGTTTTTTTTTCTCGGATGCTGTGAGTTCGCGCGAGATTTGCTCCGACGTTGTCTTCGCCGGCACCAGCGGTTGGCCCCTTTGGCGCTTCTCCAGGCGCACTGCGGCCATATTCCAATTTTCCCAAACAACAAATGCTTGAAAAATCGCGAAAAATTAATTTTTACCCAATTGTTACATAAATGTTACGTAAATGTTACATAAATGTTATGTAAATGTTACGTTCTTGTTATGTAAATTTTATGTATTTGTTACGTAATTGTTACATAAATGTTACGTATTTGTTACGTAAATGTTACGTATTTGTTATGTAAATATTATATAAATAATACATAGATAACTATTATGTATTTATGTATGTTACATAAATGTTACGTAATTGTTACATAAAAATTATATAGTACATGTTACATAATTATCATGCAAATGTTACATAAATTATATGTATATGTTACATAAATTTTATAAATAAATGTTATGTAAATGTTACGTTCTTGTTACATAAATTTTATGTAATTGTTACGTAATTGTTACATAAAAGTTATGTACATATTACATAATTATCATGCAAATGTTACATAAATGTTATGTACAAATGTTATGTAATTGTTTCATAAATCTTATGTTACATAAATGTTATGTAAATGTTACGTTCTTGTTATGTAAATTATATGTATTTGTTATGTAAATTTTATGTATTTGTTACGTAATTGTTACATAAATGTTACGTATTTGTTATGTAAATATTATATAAATAATACATAGATAACTATTATGTATTTATGTATGTTACATAAATGTTACGTAATTGTTACATAAAAATTATGTACATATTACATAATTATGATGCGAATGTTACATAAATGTTATGTACAAATGTTATGTAATTGTTACATAAATGTTACGTAAAAGTTACATAAATATTTCGTATTTGTTACGTAATTGTTACATAAATTTTATGTATTTGTTACATAATTGTTACATAAATGTTATGTATATGTTACATAAATTTTATAAATAAATGTTATTTTACATAAATGTTATGTAAATGTTACGTTCTTGTTACATAAATTTTATGTATTTGTTACGTAATTGTTACATAAATGTTACGTATTTGTTATGTAAATATTATATAAATAATACATAGATAACTATTATGTATTTATGTATGTTACATAAATGTTACGTAATTGTTACATAAAAATTATGTACATATTACATAATTATCATGCGAATGTTACATAAATGTTATGTACAAATGTTATGTAATTGTTACATAAATATTATGTTACATAAATGTTATGTAATTGTTACATAAATGTTATGTAAATATTATATAATTATTATGTATACTTGTCACATAATTATTATGAAATTTTTTACATCAATGTTATGTAAATGATAAATAATTATTTATTTATAGAAAATATATATTTTTTTTCAATATTTTAATAATCAAAAACTATCATTGCAAACATAGTCTCTTGTTGGATATATAATTTTTTTCGTAAACTCTGTATTTCTATAGCTGATTGAAGTCACTTGAATTGCAAATGGAAAATTTTCCCTATCCCTTGTAGATGAGGGAATTTAATGGCGTTCATCGACAAATCAATGGATTTCCCATTAACAGGAAAAAAAAATCCTTTGTCAACAAACCGCATTTGTGTAAAATGATCAGATATTGTTTGTTGTGCGAGATTGTAATAAAAAAATTTTTGAAAGGAAAAATATAAAAATGTATCATAAATTAGTTTGCGGCTCTCGTATCATCAATATTCATTCAATATGTCTCTTATATTAAAATTCAAAGAATTTTTTTTTTTATTAGTGAAACGAAAGAATTTTTTTTGATAACAAATTTTATTAATTTTGAAATAATTTCTTGTTTGAAAATTAATTTGTTGAAAAATATTTTTTTTTTTATTTTGTTTCACAAGAGAGAGAGAGAGAGAGAAAGAGTGCTTTCTTAACAAATCCTTTATACTTTTCTAGAATTAAGAAAAGCTGCGTCCCGCTTTACTTTCTAGATTATCTTTCGTGAAAAGACATTGACTCAAAGGGTTACGTCAGTCTCCTTAAGGTAGCGGATGAATACGTTAAAAGAAGAAAAAAAAAGAAAAAAAAAAAAAAAAAACTTTAGTGATAAAAACGGGGACAAGATGAAGACTTTATGCTCTAACAGATCACTAGAAAATGATAGCACATAAGATTCATCGAATTCAGTCTCTTTGACCGTATAGGTTGCGATAACGCTCTCTCTATATATATATTTCTTATTATTATATGAAGTTCAATTTGATTTTTTTTGGGTAAATTGAAAATTCCTCGAATTTTCAAAGCGATGAAAAACGAGACAAAAAGAGATTGATTGAAAAATTTTAAATTTTAAATATAATATAAAAGATAGTTGAAATTTTAATAGAATTTTAAAGAATAAATTTTCGGATAGAAAGTAAAATTATTTTCATATACAATCTTCATGTAAATGCAATATTTGTATGTAATTAATTAATTTACGATATAATTAATTTAAATGAAAACAATTTTTTTTCAGGTTGGAAAATGAACGCAAATCTGGAGTCTCTACCAAACGTAGACGGTTATTGCATCAGGATCTTCAAAATGTAAGTCAGAAATTTTCTAATATAAAAATTCTAGTTCTATATGTATTAGACAATTAAGAATTTATTATAATTAAAAATTAAAATTATTCTTCATCATTATAATTATAATTTTTTTTTAAATTATAATTAAAAGGAAAAAATGATATAAAGTATTAAATGTTTTTTTTTTATAATACAAGTATATAAAAGTTGATTTTAAAAATTAGAGAATTTTTTTTTAATAATAAAAGAGAGGTGAGATTTTTGAAATTAAAAGCAGACTAAATTGTATAAAATAGGAGAAAGTTTCTCAATTATAAAATACGTGGGAGGCATATGCAAGCAATCATATAAGCAAAATCTACGATAAAAGCGCGAGTCAGGCAATATGTTCATAAGCAAGGCAATTTAGAGCAAAAAGGTTGGTGCAAGTAAAACGTCGAGGACGACGTTCAAAGTCGTTCAAGAACACGTTTTGGATTAGTTGAAGTTTTATAAAAAAAATTACATATATACATAATATAAACAACCAGAGAAAATTTTTTAACAAATAATTTATTTGAATTAAATAAAAAAAATTTTTGTCTCAATAATGAAAATTATTTTTAATCAAACAATATTTTTGAATCAACAATTTTGATTCAACAAATATTTTTGATTTAAAAATTATTTTTCGAATAAAACAAAAATTTATTTAAATCAAATAAATATTTTTCATTTTTTCTTCTGGGTGGAGAATTCGGTGTAAAAAAAAAGAAAAAAAAATTGAAATAAATAAACTAAATCCTATACGTGTTCTGGTAGAAATTATATATATGTATTTTTATGCAAAATTTACGCACAAACATTTATAAATGTATATATATATAAGATATATTAGGTGTCAATTTTTAAAAAGCACACACACGCACATATTACATATGACGCGAGAGCGACCAGAAGCGCACTGCACACACTGACAATGATAAAATTAGTAATAATTTTTTTTTTTCTTTTTTTTTCAATTATCAAACGCCAATGGCCGCCATTTTTCTTTCCACTCTGTCCTCATTTAGAGCAGATGAGTCCCGTCGACTTTTGACAATTGTCAATTTTTGTCAGATATTCAGGAATTTTTTTTTTTCTATACAAAACTCGAGTCACCACCACAATTTATGTGTCAAATTACACAAATTTTTTTGGAAAAATTTTCTTTTTGCTTTACGTTCATTCAGTTATTTTCCTTTTTTTCAAAATTTATTGTTTCAGTGTTTTATACTCTCTAAATCTGAATTAGTAAAAATATTTACTAATTTAAATTAGTGACTCACTTATTGCTTTAGAATTAGTAAAATTTTACTAATTGTTAGTAAAAGTTACTAATAATTAGTAAAATTTCACTAATTTATAAGCAAAAAGTGAGTCACTAATTCAAATTAGTAAACATTTTTACTAATTGACATTTAGAGAGTAATTAATTTTTTGGGACGCATGATTATGTTCTAAAAATCATTAGTGATAATTTACATTTTATCGAATTTTATTTGTCCTAATTAGTTTTGAGCCGAATTTTTATTTCGTCGAAATAGCATTTTGCATAATTTACATCAAAGCGATTTTCTACTCTCTAAATCTGAATTAGTAAAAATGTTTACTAATTTGAATTAGTTACTCACTTTTTGCTTCTGAATTAGTTAAATTTGACTAATTGTTAGTAAAAGTTACTAGTAATTAGTAAAATTTTACTAATTCAGAAGCAAAAAGTGAGTCACTAATTCAAATTAGTAAACATTTTTACTAATTCAGATTTAGAGAGTATATTACAGAATTTTTATATATAACTAAAAATTCACTTCACAGAATTTTTATTTCTTCGAATTTTTATTTGTCAGAATTTTTATTTTCTCGAATTTTTCATTTGTCCGAATTTGCAAATGGCCGAACAAACAATCGACAGAAAGATTTCGGCGCGATTTTTAAAATCAACCAATAACAATTTTATGGATAATTTTTGATTGGTTGATTTTAAAAATCGCGCCAAAATCGATTGTTGTTTCGGCTATTTGCAAATTCGGACAAATGAAAATTCTATCAATTATAGAAATTCTATTAAATGATTTTTCGGTTAAGTAATTAAAATTCTGTAGTATGAAAAATCGATTATATGGAAATTATATCAAATAATAATTCGAACAAATGAAAATTTATCGGAAAGAAAATTCTATGCAATGAAATTCTGCCCAATGAAAATTCTTTAAAATTCCTATTATGTTAAATGAAAATTCGAGCAAATAAAAATTCTGACAAATAACAAATTCGAAGAAATAAAAATTCTGTGAAGTGAATTTTCGGTTATATAAAAATTCTGTAATGTAAAAAATCGCTTTGATGTAAATTATGCAAAATGCTATTTCGAAAAAATAAAAATTCGGCTCAAAACTAATTAGGACAAATAAAATTCGATAAAATGTAAATTATGACTAATGATTTTTAGAACATAATCATGCGTCCCAATTTTTTATTGTAAAAGAAATAATCACTCTCTAAATTTGAATTAGTAAACATTTTTAAATTTTTGCTTTTGAATTAGTATTTTGCTAATTCATTAAATTTTTTAAATACTAATTTAAAAGCCAAAAAAATTAAAATTTCAAGATAATAATTGTAAATTTTTAAAAAATATTTTAATATTTTGTTTTTAAAGGGAGAAATAATTGAAAATTTTCAATTTCTGAATGAATGAAATAAAAAATTTTTTTTAAAATAAAATTAGTGAAATTTGATATAAATTTATTGTGGAGACTTTTCGAGGTCTTTGCAAACAATATATATTTGGGATTATACAAGGAATGAGGAATATGCTTGTTGGAGGATATAAATTTTGGAATGAGATCGAAATACGTGAACGGGTATAAATCGCGAGTCACGTTCCAGGTGACAGCGTCGACTTGATTTGGTTTCCGCACAGGGCTCAACACCTGGGGTCCAGTCTCGTACATTCAGTTTCAAACTTTTTTCTTTTTTTTTTTTTTCTTTTTAGATAACAAGTAATAATTTTTTACAGTTGACAAGCGACTTAAACTTTTTTAATAAAGACCCGCTTAATTTTTCAATCTTTCAAGTTGTGTAATATAGGAATATAATATGATGGAAATTTTACATAATTATTATGTAACTATTTAATATAAAATGATATAATAATTATTAAAATTTTCTGCGATTGGCGAATAAATTTTTATTTTTTTTTTTAAATTTGAATCTAAATGTACAAACCGGAACAATATTGAAAAATAAACTACTACTGGAATTATACAATTTACACCATAAACCGTTCTATCTTAATATCGAAAATACAGACGTACGTAGTTATATATACGTTATACAGTGTATATATACATGCATATATATAATAAATTTTTTATTTTTTTTAATTTTTTTATACAGGGTGATTTTTATGTTCCGCACAACCTAAAAATTTTTTTTTTTTAATCTCATTTTTTAAATAAAAAAAAAAAATTATTAGGGGCACTGGAACATAAAAATTACCCTGTATATTAAATTATATTATATATATATTTTTTATATTTGAAACTATAAATTTTTTATATTTTATATTATATATTTTTTGTATTTTATATTATATATTTTTTGTATTATATATTATATATATATATGGATGTATATACGATTTGTGGCCTGTGGAGCTCGTCCCGTAAGCTCGATTTTGCCTTAGTCTCCAAACTCACATTCTACAACGTTCAAGAAACTATATTCAAACTTTCCTTTTATTCTTTGACAACGCGTAACAATGTCGACAGCTTGGAAATAAAGAAGAAATATTTCCTTATTCAGTAATAATAAATATTTACAGTATTTTATAAAACTTTTCTGGTCACATTCGCCAACAAACTGCTTTGCACAAATGTGTTTTTTTTTCTTCTTCTAAAATATGCAAAATTTTCTTTTAAAAATCAAAACTTTATTATATGTACATTTCTCACAATATGGCCTTTTTTTGGGGGTCATTCTTTATCAAAAATGTCCAACAGTCAAAAATTACATTTATTTTTGAAACTTTAACAAATTTATAACAAAAATTAATTTTAATAATAATTAATTACTACAATTATTAATATATGATAATATAATTAAAAAAACAATAATATAATTATATTATTAATTATTAATTAATGTATATTAATTTATTAATTAATAAATATATTTATTTATTAATATATTAATAAATAAATATATTTATTAATTAATAAATAATAATATAATTATATTATTATACACGCAAGAAAATCTTTACCTGAAACAGCGATATATTTCTCTAGAATAGCGAAAACTTTCTCTGTTTTAGTAAAACATATCGCTGTTCTAGGCAAAAAAAATTTTTTTCGTATATTATTGTAATGAGATAATTATATAATTGATTATAATAATTAATTACAGTAATTGAAAACAATAATAATAATACTATTAATAATAATAATAAAAATAATAATAATAATAATAATAATAATAATAAAAATACACTAAAAAAAAAATTATTTGCTTGAAATAATCGGTTACTTGACTATTATCTAATAAATATTTCCTTGAACCAAATAATTTTTGAAACCAAATAATTGAATTAAATAAACTGTATTTGAATCAATAATTTCTGTATTTGAAACAAATACCATTTAATTGATTCAAATAAAAATTATTTAATACAAATAAATATTTATTTGATAATAGTAAAGTAATCAATCATTTAAATCAGCTAAATTTTTTTTCCTGTGTAATAATAATAATAATAATACAGTAAAAAAAATTTATTTGCTTGAAATAATCGATTACTTGACTATTATCAAATAAATATTTACCTGTACCAAATAATTTTTGAAACCAAATATAATTGAATTAAATAAATTTTGTATTTGAACCAACAATTTTTGCATTTATTTCAAATATCATTTAATTACAAAAAATAATTATTTAAATAATCATATTTATTTTATAATAGTCATAAGTAATTGATTATTTAAATTATATAAATTTTTTTCTCTGTGTAATAATAATAATAATACAGTAAAAAAAAATTTATTTGATTCAAATAATCAGTTACTTGACTATTATCAAATAAATATTTACCTGTACCAAATAATTTTTGAAACCAAATAATTGAATTAAATAAACTGTATTTGAATCAATAATTTCTGTGTTTGAAACAAATACCATTTAATTGATTCAAATAAAAATTATTTAATACAAATAAATATTTATTTGATAATAGTAAAGTAATCAATTATTTAAATCAGATAAATTTTTTTTTCCTTTGTAATAATAATGATAATAATAATAATAGTAATAATAATAATAATAATAATACAGTAAAAAAAAATTTATTTGATTCAAATAATCAGTTATTTGACTATTATCAAATAAATATTTACCTGTACCAAATAATTTTTGAAACCAAATATAATTGAATTAAATAAATTTGTATTTGAACCAACAATTTTTGCATTTATTTCAAATATCATTTAATTACAAAAAATAATTATTTAAATAAATATATTTATTTTATAATAGTCATAAGTAATTGATTATTTAAATTAGATAAATTTTTTTTTCCGTGTAATAATAATAAAAATTTGTGCTTGGCAGTAGTTTGAAGATTTAACCAAAAAAGTTATTATCGAGAAAAGAACTGAAAATTTTTATTAGATTCGAAAAAAAAATTTTACTTTTTGGAGGAAAAAAGTTTTTATGAAAATATTAGAATGTGGTGAGGATTCGATAAAAAAAAAAATATCGCGGGTCGAGCTCCACGGGTTGGGCCATGCAACAGAACATTGCAAATATTTGTCAAACGAATCAACGATAATAATAATAATAATAATAATTATAACGAGTGGACAATATATCTTGCGAAGAGACTGCGGAACGTAGCAAGGTTCCCTTGTAACAGTTCAGCCAACCAAATAGCTGTGACGAGCTAAAAAAACATAGTTAGTAAGGCCGCCAGTGTGTATATTCACGGCTGTATAATAATACAGTACCAACATATATATATTTGTGTATATATATATATACGATTTTAAAACTTTTTTATATATATATATATACACATATACATTTTTCTCTATTCTCACCGTGCAGGTTCTTTTTATCATGAAATCTAAAGTCAATTTACGAAGTAATATCAAGTTC